CGAGGAATGAGATATTCAGCTCACAAAACCCTTTGAAACCATACAACTCCTCTCTCAGAAGTCCTTACAGAAACATTTAGCCAGAAACTATAAATACATTCATGTTGGCCTTGTCCAAGTCGGAATAAAACCCCTTACAAAAGAAGGTTTAAACACCTCCATCCTTGCTGTCCTCCGAGATGCTAGATTTTAAAACTTTCAAGACTCTCTCCTTAGTTCCATTGAGTCTAGCCTTTGTAGTGGCCCAGTATCTTTCGACTGTTATCCAAACATAATCATATCTCTCAAAGAGAAGAATATTTTGCAGAGTATGCTACTCCAAATAAAAACCCATAATTATGACATGCTTGGAGGTTCTATAGCTGTTGCTCTCATATTCAAAATACACTATAAAGCCATGTTCTCAGCCTTTGCTAGTAAACACAAGTTTCATTCTCAAAAAGGAGAAACACTCCTCCTACAAACTGATTTATCCCGCTCAAACACTGTTATTCCAAAAGCCATCCAATGGAAAGGCATATCTCTTCCAGAAGATAGGATCCTTGAAGGTGCAGCACCACTAGATATCCTTCAACCACCTCAACCCAATGTCCAAATAAAAAAATTACCCAATTTACTGATGGCAAAGTCAAACTATCTTTCCATCGTCACTCTACAAGTTCCAGATTCTTAGAAGCCTCTTCCTCTTGTAGTACAATAGATCTAGGAAGAATCTCAAAAATCCCTTCTGTCATTAATATCCCTTATCACGAAAACCCTCCAAGAAAGTCTACATCAGATATCCCTTCTCCTAGCTTTCAAAATGCATATTATACTACAAATATACCAAAACCACAGTTACTCTTCCAGAGTTACATTCTGAGATAAAAACGCTTAAATCTGAATTACAATTTTTTAAACAAGCCCAACAAAAAAACTCTGCCATACTACAACATCTTCTCTTAAAAATAGAAAACCAGCCTGATATTGAGCCTGATACTGAGTCTGATACTGAAGACCAAACCATTGAACCTCATGCTTTACCACATACACTTACCAATATTGAGCATATTCCAGATGATTTTCTTAATGTCTTAACACAAATATCTTTAAAAAAATATTTAATTAGAATTACTCTTGTTTTCTCAAATGATTTCAAACTTGACACTATTGCTTTATTTGACACAGGTGCAGATTTAAATTGAATCAAAGAAGGAGTGGTCCCAAAATGATTTTTACAAAATACTTCTGAAAAACTCTCTGCTACTAATAACTCAAAATTACATATTGCGGGTAAAACCCAAGCCTCTGTTTTCAATAAAGGCATTTCTCTTAAAACATTTTTTATTGTTACTAAAGATATTAATCATACCATCATTCTTGGCACTCCATTCATTGACATGATCACTCTATATCAAGCACATCATAATTGTATTACTTCCAAAATTAACAACTCCAAACTTCTTTTCCCATTCTTAGAGAAGTCCAAGACTAGAAATTTGAATTTAATTAAAGCATGCTCTATACATGCTTATCATCTCAATGCATTAATTCTTGAAAAACAATTCCATCTACATGATGTACAAAACCATGTTTCTTTTTGTCGCATAACTAAACAACTCCAACACCCTGATTTACACCAAAAAGTCATTGACTTACAAAATAAGATTGAACAACAAATCTGTTCTGACCTACCTAATGCTTTCTGGAAAAGAAAACAACACATCGTTGATCTTCCATATGAAGATACTTTTTCAGAAAAATTAATACCCACGAAAGCACGACCTATACAAATGAATGCTGATTTAGAACAGCATTGCAGACTTGAGATCCACGATCTCGAGTCTAAAGGTCTTATCCAAAAGTCTCGATCATCCTGGTCGTGTGCAGTGTTTTATGTAAACAAAAACTCTGAAATCGAATGAGGCACACCAAGACTTGTGATCAATTACAAACCCCTAAATTTTGCTCTCAAATGGATCAAATATCCAATCCCCAACAAAAAAGATCGGCTACAAAAATTGCATTCTGCATTCATATTTTCCAAGTTCGATATGAAATCTGGATTCTGGCAAATCCAGATTGATCCCAAAGATAGATACAAAACTGCTTTCATGGTTCCTTTTGGCCAATACGAATGGAATGTTATGCCATTTGGTATGAGGCAGTAATTAAAGAAGAAGACATTACAAAACCCCAACAGGTACAAACCAACGCAGTTCAACCATGGTTGACACTATATCTAAATCACCAGAATTACTTCTGGCGTTACCAAAAGTGTCTCAACAGACATCCGACGACTCTGTATCTCAAATAGGTAGTATTTCAAAACCTTTTTCAAAACCTCAAGGAGGCATTTCTACTTCAAAACCCCTCCTTTCTTTATAACAAACTAGCTTTCAAAAAATAAAATCCAAATATATTTTCAAAACTACTTTCCAAAATATCTTAACTATGGAAGAAGGATTTTATCATGAAAACCTTTCCATTACTGCATCAAAAATTTTCCCCTCCAACTAGCACTACAAACCTTGGAATTTGGCCAAACCACAATCCTATTATGCCACAATCCTTGAAATAACTAATTCCATCAAATTCAAACACTTCAAAATTCATTCTAGCCATACTGAACCAGCATATTCTACATGTATTATTCAAAAAGTCATTCACCTTAAAGACTGGGGGCAACCATGACATCAACCCCTTTCTTTCCCCATGAACTTCCGTACAAACCCCCAAGAATTTAATACATCCTATACATATTAGGATTATCAACAGGCATGGTTCAATACCTTCCTCCTCTAAAATCCAAACCATAGTCATTCTTGGCTTTTACCATAGTCATTCTTGGCTTTTTTACTTCTATAATGACATGGACACTACAAACCTCCCCCTCTGGTTCCTCCAATGGTGGGACTACTATAGCTGTCATGTTGACTACCTCAAAGACCATCCTCTAGTTGAAAACGGCTACCTCTATTTCAAAAATAATTTTCAACCAGCTCCTTCTGAAAGAAAGTTCTCTTCTCTACTTATTTTCTGTACAAATTTTTTTGTTCCGTGGGTATGTTCATGATTCTATGATTATAATCTACAAAACAGACATCCAGTTCTTATTCGTAAATTCAAAATCAAATGGTGGGATTCCTTTACAGCTGAATCCAAAAGTTCAAAATTAGCTGTTACGGAATGGTTACAAAAACATCAGACAGCTCCCATAATTGACCATCATCCTCAATCAAAGTTTCTAGCTAGAAAGGCTCAAACGACAGCTCTCCTTGCCTCTGCTAGAACTGAAGAAGAATACTTACAAATTGTCCAAAACATTATACAAAGCCAAGACCCCAAAACAGTCTTGTCCCAATCCAGCTCATCTGGATCAATATCTCCTGCCATTTCCCTTGGAAATGATAATGAAGATGACTATTTTGGTATTCTACCACCCATTAAGCAACACTAAAAAAAAAAGTATTTTTCCAGCTTTTTCAGGCTCATCTGTTTAGAGCTTTATCTTTTGACTCACCTGTTTTGAGCCCCTTTTTAATTTTAAGACCCTATGTTTTAGTCTTTTTTTTTTTTACAAATATTACTTGCTGCTACAAATCCATTGTCGCTGACTACAAGACAATAGAAAAAAGTTCAATAACCAAAAACGTGGGCTTTTCCCATCTTGTCTTCACTCAATCATGGCAGACAACACCATATGGGTTCACATGGGTTCTGACGGAATCTCCAACAAGACATTTTGGCCTCTTCCATGTCAACTCGTCTATAAAAAGCTTATTAATCTTTATAGGGCAGAGGTACCACACTGTTTTTCTTATAGTACAGGTGGCAGCTCCCTAGGCGAGGGGGACCATTGCACTCTAGCTGTTATATAACTGAATGAAAAGGCCTCCAACTCTCTGAATTAATCCTCTCCTCGTGCTATAACAATGGTAAGAAGAGCAAATGTTTTAAATCGTTTTCCTCTATTGTTTCTTTCCTTTTGTCTCTAGCTAGAGACTGTCCAACACAGCATAATGGTGAGAGAGAACATGATAAAATAGCAGTAGCTCTGTTTTTAAATAGCTAGAAACATCTAATTAAATTGAGTTTTGACTTTGTTATTTTAGCTTACATCAAAGTTTTTTGGAGGCGGCAGCAACAGCGACAGCAGCTCTGATTCAGAGAGTCCTCGGCAAAAGATTTCTAACCGCTGATACAAGGAGGACTTTGAGGAGATTCAATGTCTAGGTAAAACTTAGGTTGGTCTTGTTTTCTGTAGTTTGCTTGTTCTTAGAATATTCTTGTTGATTTTTCTGTACATAGGTCATGTTTATAATTATTGTCTATAATTTGTATAATTAACCTCCCTGTGGTTCGACCCCGGTCTTGCCGGGTTATTTATCACTTCAACACTCCTGCACTTGGGAGAAGACATCAACCTTTTCGTCGTGTCATACAGGTGGCAGCTCCCTAGGCGAGGGGGACCATTGCATTCTAGCTGTTATATAACTGAATGAAAAGGCCTCCAACTCTCTGAATTAATCCTCTCCTCGTGCTATAACAATGGTAAGAAGAGCAAATGTTTTAAATCGTTTTCCTTTATTGTTTCTTTCCTTTTGTCTCTAGCTAGAGACTGTCCAACACAACATAATGGTGAGAGAGAACAGGATAAAATAGCAGTAGCTCTGTTTTTAAATAGCTAGAAACATCTAATTAAATTGAGTTTTGACTTTGTTATTTTAGCTTACATCAAAGTTTTTTGGAGGCGGCAGCGGCAGCAACAGCAACAACAGCTCTGATTCAGAGAGTCCTCGGCAAAAGATTTCTAACCGCTGATACAAAGAGGACTTTGAGGAGATTCAATGTCTAGGCAAAACTTAGGTTGGTCTTGTTTTCCGTAGTTTGCTTGTTCTTAGAATATTCTTGTTGATTTTTCTGTACATAGGTCATGGCACATATGAAACAGTTATGAAGTGTAAACATAAGCTTAATCATATAGAATATGCAGTAAAAAAAATCAATCAAAGTTGGTTACCACAACAAAGAAGTAATATTAAGGTATTAAATTTCTCCTGTTTTAATTTTATCTGTGGTGTGTTGTACTGTTTTGTTTTATTTTAAGGTTAGTCTTTATAACTCTTTCCTCTGATGGGTGATTGAGATCTGTTATGTTGTAATGTGCAGAGAAGCATCTACTCATGCTAGGATGCATCACAAAAATATTGTGCGCTACCATCAGGTATTTTACTATTTGGAATTCAAAATTCTAGCTCTCTAATCTCTTTTATTTTTCTTTTTCTTTCTTCTTTTCAAATCAGTTTAAAAGGCATGTTCTATGTAATCAAACACAACCTCTCTCTGCCCTCCCAAAATACAGCTAAAAAACATTTTCACTGAAGGACTCAATGATTTGTTCTTTCGAAGGAAACGGGTGAAGAATTTCTGTTAATGATTTTATATGGCCTTATAAACTCGTATGAACTGTCTGTGCCCGTATGATCTTGTTTCCTGTCCGTGTTATTTTCAATTGGCAACAAAGAAGCCATCATCAACGGACTCATTTCAATCCGTCTTTGATATGATGCTTGGAAATCAATTTGTCTTTGTCTATCAGGCCTGGACAGAGAATTTGCAGCCAAAGAGTAATCATGATGACATGCGTGGCTCAAGCTCTGCTGGTGAAGATACTGCCGCGCTGTTTATTCAGATGGAATGCTGCCCGATGTGAGTGAGATGGCATTTTTTTTTTTTTTATGTTCTTTTTTTATATACTGTTGCTTACAACAATCTATTTTTATCACAGGACTCTTCATGATCTGCTCTCTAAGGAGACTGGCCTCGAGGGACGCTTCTTGATGGCCAAGCAAATAATTGAAGGAGTGTGCTTCATCCACGCAAATGAATATGTCCACAGAGACCTTGCCACAAAAAATATTTTTGTGGGAGCTTCTCAGGATGAGAATGAGATAAAAATAGGAGACTTTGGAATTGGTGAGAGCAATTTAAATTTAAATGTTTTTAAATTTGATAGTTTATTGTTGAAAGTTCATAGTTTATCTGTTATTAATCTTCTTTTTTTTTTTGGCAGCGGTCTTCTGTAAAAAAGGAGAAAAGGTTCAGGTCGACGCCGAGGGAAACAAAACGTACAGGGCTCCTGAGGCGGAAAAGGGATCCATTGATGCCAAGGCGGATGTATACAGCTTAGGAGTTATCTTATTCATGCTGCTACACCCCACAGCATCTGGCACAGAAAGGAAAAATAGTTTAGATAAATTAAAAAGAATGGAATTTCCGGATGATTGGGAAAATGAGCGGTACAGACCGCTCAAATCTCTTCTCTCGGACATGCTGTCTGAAAGCCCTGATGACCGTCCTTCTGCTGAAGAAGTTCTGCCCCGAGTTCTGGTAATATATTAACCAACTCCAAGGGCATCTTCAGCTGTTTTTTTCTTCAACCTTTTATAGGACTGTCATTTTATTTTCATGTTTACTTCATCAAATACTAGCTAATATCATTCTTTGCTTTCGTCATAGGATCTCTCTCCCCTCTTCGAGGTATGCTCATTACTCGTTATGCCTGCCTGCCCTATGCCTGTCGGTTGGGTTATTGAAGTAAAAGTAATTGCACTTTCATATGACATTTATTCTCTATTTATGAAAAATTTGTTTGGCAGCACGATGAGCCTGTGCAAGGCAAAGAAGAGCAGACGGATGGAAAAGTTGACAAGGAGCTGGAGACCGGTGAAAAAGTTGACAAGGAGGAGAGGACTGAAGCTGTTGGAGAGGATGGCGCGGAGGAGGAGGAAGCTTGAGCTTGGGCTTTGGCGCTAGCACTGTCCAATCTTCTAGTCTATTTTGATCTGCCATTTCTGTTATATAGTAGCAGATACACCAGTTTGTGTTGCTGCAGCAATAACTTTTGCGAATTAGCAATTAATACGTGAGACGTGACGGGAATGTTCAAAGGAGGGTGAAATTTCAAACCCGAAGCTAGTTGTATGCAGTACAGAGCAACTTCCTAAACTTGAAGGTTGATGCATTTGACTAACCTCCATTTTAGGAGGAATAGCATACAATATAAGCGTACAATAGTTTCAGCAATCCATAGTATATGTGTGTTTCCTCCTGGGTGCTTTGTGCAGATCAAAATGCTTGCCATCACAATTTTTACTTCAAGGGGGCTGCGCGGCAGTCAAGTGGCCCGCGAGATCTATTTTATTGCAAAAGCTTAATTACTTTTAGCAAATGACAAAACCAGAAAAATTGTAGTCGAAGAAATTGAATAAAATTAAATTTCTCACCGTTTGCTATCTCCATTCCTAATAATTAACGGGCATCAAGCTTCCGTTAAGGAAGAAAACAGTGCCTTGGAATTGTTGGGCATCCGTGCCAACGGGTGTTATTTTCCTTGCCTTTTTCCGGGACTCCACCATAAGCTATGGGGAACAACAGTACCCCTTATGCGGAAAGCGTGGTAGGCGAAGGTGTTAAGGAAACAAATATGTAGAATATTTCTTTTCCTATTGCAGTATAGATTTCCTATTGCAGTATAGAATTCCAGAATAGCTTAGCACAATTATAGGAAACAATTCTTGTATAAAGCTACGTTCTCAGATTCAATGAATTAATTCATTCAGGCAAAGATTCTTTTTCTCTTTTCTCACATGATATCAGCAAGGTTAACATACCCTAGCTCTCTTTTTTTGCCGTCTCAATTTTCTTTTAGCTTTGCCGCTACTCATCATCATGGAGAGTGAGCAATCTTCAAAAGAAGGCAGGAACAATGCCTTCGATCCCTTTTTCCTCTACCATTCTGACCATCCAGGATTGCTCACTCTCAAGTTAATGCAAGTTGATATCTTTTTTTTTTTTGTCTTTACTTATTTTTCTTTTTTGATTTTATCATTTGAAATTAAACTTTTAAAAAATTGATTTTTTTTTGTTTTCTTTGCTTTTTTTTTTTTATCAGATTATCTCGATTTCATGACCTAGACGGCAAGTTTAGAAAGTTAATCTAAGCTGGCTTAATCCTTTTTATGTTGTCATTTTTAATTTTCAATTTTTTTAAATATTATTTTTATATATTTAAAAAAAATAAAATAATCTAATTCCATGACAAAGCGCATGTCATTGTCTAGTGGTGTGTGTATACACTAGCTACACTGCAAGTTGTATATGTGTTTTCAATAATTTTTTAAAATATGTAAGCCTTACCAATGTGTTTTTTTCCATAAAAAATTATAAATATAAATTAAAATGTCAATGCCATTATCTAATTAAATAAATGAAAATAAGGCAATTAATGATAACTAGAAACAATACTTAAATAATTGAGAGACAGACAGATGTAGATAAATATATTTGATCTCACAACATTAGCATTTATACAATTATATTTATTGAATTTGCTTATCAAAATAAATTCTTTATTCAATCAAACGATAATAAAAATAGACAAACACATGAAATTAATTGAATAATATAAAAAAATATTGTTGAAAGTTGCACATATTAGAAATATCATCTAAAATTAAATATTTTTTTAATTTTTAAAACAATAAAAACTATTTATAGATAAATCAGAATAATATCTTCAAAAATTAAACACATAAAAAATAACTAAGAAAAAACCTCTATAAAAAAAGGTTACACAAGAAAATAATAATAATAATAGAGAATGGAAGTTAATTGAAAAATAAATTATTTTTTTTAAAAGAAAAGACATATTAAAAAAGGCATCAATAAAAAAAAGAAGAAAAAAATACAACTTGGGTTATAGCTTTAATCTTATTTTTTAAAACAATAATGTTGAATGGTAAAAAAAAAAAAAACATATCAACCAGCATTAACTTTTTAAAATATGATCCAGGTCATTGGACCGGAAACACAATAAATGAAAAATTACACAACCCAATCCTTAGCAAATAAAAAATTGAAGGATTTAAAAGGGGGAAAATTCAATTACATAAATATATCTAAAAAAAATTGCAATTAAAATATTAAGGGTGAAAATTGAAATAAAAAATAAATTAGAGGACAAATTTGTTTTTTTGATTGAAGGGTTAAATTGAAAAGAAAAGTAACTTGAACAAAATAGAAAAAAAATAAAAGAATGAGAATCATCTAATTAAACTGAGTTTTGGCTTTGTTATTTTAGCTTGCATCAAATATTTTTGGAGGCAGCAGCGACATCGGCTCTGATTCAAAGAGTTCTCGGCAAAAGATTTCTGACTGTCGATATAAGAAGGGCTTTGAAGAGGTTAAATATCTAAATAAAATTTACGATGTTCTTGATTTTAGAATATTCTTGTTTATTGTAATATGCAGAGAAAACCATCATGCTAAGATGTATCATAAAAATATTATGTTTTATTATTGAGCATTTTATTGTTTGGTATCTCTATTTCTTTTATATATATATATATATAAGTTTAGAAGACATGTTCTATATAATCAAATATAATTTTTCTCTATACTTTCAAAATATAGTTAAAAAACATGTTTTTTAGGATATTAGATGTCCAGGTAAAATTTACATTGTTCTTGTTTTTTATAGTTTGCTTGTTCTTAAAATATTCTTGTTTATTTTTTTGTACATAAACCATGGTATATATGAAACAGTAATAAAGTATAAACATAAGCTTGATTAAGTGGAATATGCAGTAAAGAGAATCAAAGTTGGTTACCACAACAGAAAAGTGATATTAAAATATTAAATCTTTCTTATTTTAATTTTATTTCTCTTGATATAAAGTTCTTAAAATAAAACAACACAACACAACACAGATAAAATTAAAATAAGAGAGATTTAATACCCTAATATCACTTATCTGTCGTGGTAACCAACTTTGATTTTCTTTACTATATATTCCACATAATCAAGTTTATGTTTACACTTCATTATTGTTCCATATATACCATAAGTTATGTATAAAAAATAAAAAAAAATATTATAAAAATAAACAAATTATAAAAAATATAAATATAAATTCTACATAAACATCTAATCTTCTAAAAAACATGTCTTTTAGTTATGTTTTGGGCGGGTAAAGAGTGATTGTATTTGATTACATGTAATATATCTTCAAAACTCATTTGAAAAAAAAAAAAAAAGAAAAAGGAAAAAAGAGATATTTAGAATCTTGAATACCAAATAGTAAAATAGCTGATGGTAGTGCACAATAACTTTGTGATGCATCTTATCATGAATAGATGCTTCTCTGCACATTAAGACATTACAGATCTTTACAGATCTTTTAGCGTGTAATAATCACTCATCAGAGGAAAAATGAACCAACTCCAGGGGCATCGTCAACTGTTTTTTTTTTTTTTTTTCAACCTTTTATAGGACTGTCATTTTATTTTCATATTTACTTCATCAAATACTAGCTAATATCATTCTTTGCTTTCGTCAAAGGATCTCTCTCTCCTCTTCGAGGTATGCTCATTACTCGTTATGCATGCCTGCCCTATGCCTGTCAGTTGGGTTATTGAAGTATAATTAACTGCACTTTCATATGACATTGATTCTCTATTTATGATAAATATGTTTGACAGTGCGATGAGTCTGCCAATTAAATAGAATTTAAATAAATTAAAAAATATAAAATTTTTAAATGATTGGGAAAATAAGTGGTACATACCTCTCAAATCTCTTATACCGGACATATGGTCTAAAAAAACACTTCTTAATGCCCAAGCAGATTGTTGGAGTTGTCCGATGTGAGATCAGTCTCTGGACCAGCAGAACTTTTTGGCTGCCAACTCTCTGTCCAGGCCTGATAGACAAAGACAAATTCATTTCCAAGCATCATATCAAAGACCAATTGAAATGAGTCCGTTGATGATGGCTCCTTTGTTGCCAATTGAAAATAACAAGGACAGGAAACAAGATCATACGAGCACAGGCAGTTCATACGAGTTTATAAGGCCATATAAAATCATTAACAGAAATTCTTCAACCGTTTCCTTCAAAAGAACAATTTGAGTCCTTAAGTGAACATGTTTTTTAGCTGTATTTTGAATTTTAGGAGGGCAGAGAGAGGTTGTGTTTGATTACATATAACATATCTTAAAAAAACCCAGAAAGAGAGAGATCAGAGAGCTAGAATTTTGAATATCAAACAGTAAAACACCTGCTGGTAGCGCACAGTATTTTTGTGATGCATCTGAGCATGGGTAGATGCTTCTCTGCACATTACAACATAACAGATCTTTTAGCGTGAAATAATCACTCATCAGAGGAAAGAGTTATAAAGGCTAACCTTAGAGTAAAATACAACAGCACAGCACAACACAGCACAGATAAAATTAAAAAAAGAGAGATTTAATACCTTAATAATACTTTTTTATCATGCTAACCTATAATCAAGTTTATATATACCATAACCTATGTATAAAAAATAAACAAAAACATTTTAAAACAAATAAAGTATGAAAAACAAGAACAAGCTAAGTTTTATCTAGACATTTAATCTCCTCAAGAACATGTCTTTTAACTGTATTTTGAAAGAGCAGAGAGAGATTGTGTTTGATTACATAGAACATGTCTTCTAAACTCATTTGAAAAAAAAATACAGAGAAAGAGATCAGAGATCTAGAATATTGCATATCAAACAGTAAAATACCTGATGGTAGAGCACAATATTTGTGTGATTCACCTTAACATGAGCAGATGCTTCTCTGCACATTACAATAAGCAAGAACATTCTGAGAACAATATTTGTGTGATACACTTTAGCATGAGCAGATGCTTCTCTCACATTACAATAAGCAAGAATATTCTGAGAACAATATTTGTGTGATGCACCTTAGCATGAGCAGATGCTTCTCTGCACATTACAATAAGCAAGAACATTCTAAGAACAAGAACAACTGCTTCTCTGCACATTACAATAAGCAAGAACATTCTAAGAACAAGAACAACGTTAGTTTTACCTAGATATTTAATCTCCTCAAAGTCCTCCTTGTATCGGCGTTCAGAAATCTTTTGCCAGGACTCTTTGAATCAGAGCCGTTGCCGCCTCCAAAATACTTCGATGAAAGCTAAAATAACAAAATCAAAACTCAGTTTCTAGCTGTTTAAAAACAGAGCTACTGCTATTTTTTCCAGCTCTCTCTCACCAGTGCGCTGTGTTGTACAGTATCTAGCTAAAGAGAAAAGGAAAAAAACAATAGAGAAAAACGATTTAAAACACATGTTCTTCTCACCATTATTATAGTGCGAGGAGAGGATTGATTCATAAAGTTGGACAGTTACATGACAGCCAGCGTGCAATGGTCCCCTTCTCCTAGGGAGCTGCCGCTGGTACTATAAAAAAAAAAAAGGATGATGTACAGGACGGACCCATTAGATCATAAGGAGAACGTTTTTCTCTCCCCTTTCCCTTCATTAACTATCCTATTATGCTACAGCGCGTGGGATTTTCACTGTAGTAATCTACAGTGAAAATCTCATTTTGCCCTTCTGCTTTGTTAGGAGGTAGGAAAAGTTGAGATAGTTTGTCTTT